CCATTCAGATTGGGGTTTGCCACCAATGAGATGGGAACACATTTAAGAAACAAAATCCAAGTTTTCAGACTTGTTCGGAGTTTGAATTTGTGAATAAGGAATCGTGAAACTTTATTTAAATGTGCTGTCTTCCAATAAGGATTTTTAAAGCGAGGCAAGGTTTTAGTCCAAAGTTGCTAATGTTTCAAAGGATGTAGTAGTAGAGGCTATGTCTTGGGAATAAGGAGAAAGATTTGGGTTAAAGAGAGCTTTTCCAGTGACCCCTAAGTCATAGCCTATAGCTTACTTCCTGCTCCATCTATCATTATTCACATCATTCAATTTATACTCTTTTTTGGAAAGATTCTCCCTGAATAATCCATGAAGGTTAAACAATTGGAGAATCTAGATTTTCATTCTGCCGAACAGAGAAAAATGTTGTGAATGTTTCCTTACTCTAGGTGAGGAATTCCACCCTCCTCCTCATCCAAACCATGTGTGAAAAATGCTACATTGAAGCCCGGGAAGGATGGCCACTGATTGATTACGTCTTCTCCCAGTTTGCCATGTCCACCAAGAATCTGGTATGAAGAGGGAGCCGTTTTGAGTTCTGCCCTGAGATAAATGCAGTTGACTCAGCTGGATTTAAAAAAAAAAAAGAAAGAAAAGAAAGAAAGAAAACAAACAAAAAAACTGTGGTTCAATTCGTTGACTGGTTTAGAAGTTGTATTTCGGTCTTATCATTTTTATTTATAGATTTTTCAGCTTCTAGTGTTTCCAGTTCCCTTTCACTGATACCATTTTTAACTTATAATAAATGCAAGGGAGGTTAAATCACAGTTTTCCCTAAGGAGGAAGCAACCTGGCCTCAAAAGGTTTGGGGATGGTTTGGAGGTGGGCAGAGAAAGGTAATTGTTTCTAGAAAATAAGAGACATCCACACCTGTTGCACTGGTTCCTTTCAATGAATAGCCTGAAAAACATGTGTGTAAGAGACCAGTGATCTTAGCAAGTTCATTGCAACCAGAGCTACAGTCCACTCCACTAGGAAGCAGTGTCTTTGGAAATTTTTGCCCCAGAGAAAATGGGGAAAGGCCAGAGGGAAAAAGGGAATATCTGAAGTTTAAGGCTCCTCATGTTTGCTTTTCTGCTTTAGCCAGGGGTCTTTTTTCTAACCCATTCCTCCAAGGAGCACTTTATTTTTTTTCTCTTGCATTGCTTCTTTTTACTTTCTAATTTTTTTATTGAAGTATAGTCGGTTTACAAAGTTGTGTTAATTTCCAGTGATCAGGAAGGGGGTTCAGTTATACATATATACATATATATATATATATATTCTTTTTCATATTCTTTTCCATTATAGGCTATTACAAGATATTGAATATAATTCCCTGTACTATACAGTAGGTCCTTGTTGTTTATTTATTTTATATATAATAGTTAGTATCTGCAAATCCCAAACTCCCAATTTTTCCCTCCCACCACCCCACCATCCCATAACCATAAGTTTGTTTTCTATGTCTGTGAATCTGTTTCTGTTTTTTTAAAAGTTTGTGTCATTTTTAAATTCCATATATAAATAATATCATATGATGTTTGTCTTTCTCCGTCTGGCTTACTTCACTTAGTATGACGATCTCAAGGAGCACTTGAAAACACGGATCAGATACTGAGACCAAGATCGCTGGGTTCTATGAGCCCACCCCAAAGCCTGAGACCACATCCAAGTAAGGTCGGAGGACCAACAGGAGGGATTATTAACAAGTCACCTATTTCATCTTTCTTAAAGGAGAAACCAGTAAAACCTAACTCCCAGGAGAATGAAAAGGGAGAGAAATCTGTCCAAGAAACAAGCTTGGAGATCTTAAAAACCCTGGACCCACTGGTCATTGGCATGCCTCAGGTAAGGGGTCTTCTGTCTCCACTTATCAGTTACTCTGATGACCCTTCTGAAGCTCTGTGCACTTGGGAGTGAAGATACGAGTTTGTGCTCCACGTGTCAGCAGCTCTTCAAAGCTCCGACTAAAGGAAATATATCGGCACGCTCAGTGCCAGCACATAGTAGTTCCTCAAAAACAGATATTAAATAGTCTTTTATAGCTGGATCGCAAATGGCCGTTTATAAGCATCTTAATATATTATTTCTCTTCTTCCCTAAAATACTTAGACATATTGTCAGGTAATGGTTGATGGTTTGACTACAATGAATACTAACCTTTCCCCATTCCTCTGGGAAGGTGTTAAAAGCACACTTTCTCAGGTCTCTCTGGAGGTCTGATATGACCTGGACCTCAAGGGGAAGAACCTTGGAATCTGCATTTTCCTTAAGGAGAACAACTTGGGAAAGGATTGAATGACCAAAAATACATGGCACAGCCCAGAGACAATCAACAGACCAATTTAAGTGGCTCTGAGGCCTTATTTAGGATGGTATTTTAAGATGTGGTTCTTGGATCATCTGGGGTATTTATTTAAAATGCAGACTTCCAGGCCACATACCAACCCTAAATGAGTCTGCATATCTGAGCATGGGGCCCATGAGTCTGCATGCAAATGAATTCCAACATCTCTGGTGCATACTAAAGTTTGGGAAATTCTGATCTAGTAGGAAATAATGAAAAAAATAGTCTGTGACAAAGGGCCAGGCTCTAAAGGGTCTGAAATGCCAAATTCTACCTTGTCCTTGATGAGCCATTGAAAATTTTCAGCAAGGGCTGAACTTTTAAAGTGATGACTGTCGGAAATCAATGGATGGGCATGAGTAGACAAAGCATAAAGAGACTGAGATCAGATGAGGTTCATAGGAGCCAGAACTGGGTCATAATAGCAAGAGGGAAAATATGGAAGGGCGTGAGAAATCTTACAATGAAAAAAGGACTAGGCTTGGTGATTAAATACAGATGACAAGACAAAGGGGAGAGTCCAAGCTGACATCTAGGTTTCCATTAGGACCTAAAACTTACTAAGAATATGAAAACAAATACATGTATGTATATGCATGACTGGAACATTGTGCTGTACACCAGAAATTAACACATTGTAACTGACTGTACTTTAATAAAAATAAATTTAAAAAAAATACTGACTAAAGAAACTAGGTGCTGCAGGTTTCCGGAGCAAGAAGATCCGCACCTGAAGCCTGGACAGTGACAGCTGCCCATTCACTGTCCATCCCATCCTCACTTTGGACAATCTCACTCTAGTCTTGGAGTCTGGAGAAATACATGGGTATTTTTGGTCGTCACATCAACAAGGGGCTTACCAGCACATGGTGAGTGGTGCTGGCACTTCCTGCAGTGACCCACAATGAAGAGTTGTCCTGCCCCAAATTCCAGCAACAACCCCATGGAGAAATACTGACCACCGCTCACGAAATCTAGCACCTGAAAGCTCATGCGCCGTGCAGAGACTGTATTTCATGATCTCATTTTGATTTGGCCTGAAAAGCAAAATAATAAGTGAGAGAAATTTTTCCAAATTTGAGGGAAACACACGGCGGACCAAGGAGGAATAAAGGAAAAGCATAAGTAATCCTTGCATCTTGCCTTATGTTTTCTACAGGTGCTATGGCCAAGAATCCTGACTTTTGTGGTACCTGCAGAATATACGGGAACTCTGAAATACCTGTTCAATATCATCAGAATTCTGTTCATGGCAGAGGAGAGGAAGAAGAATGACAAGGAGTCAACAGCCCTCGTCATCTCTACAGGAGCTGGTTGGTACTCTCAAAAACAAAGCAAAACCTTTCTCTCCTGAGAGACTCGTTTCCAGAAAGGCCACATGGCTTTGCTCGTTTACCTGACCCCAATCTAAATTTTCTTAGCCCCCACAAGCAATAATGAAAATTGCTTTCTCTTTCTAGTGAAACTTCCTTCACCACAACAGCTGCTGGCCAGACTTCTGGTGAGTGAGTTATGAAAAACCAATGTGAGATAGAGTGAAACCAATATAGATCATTCAGTTCCAAATAAACGCTACTAAAATTACATGGATATTCCAAACCCAAAGAACCACTAAAATGGCATAAAAATGTTCTGCGATACTAATGACACTCATGAAGATTTATTTTGTCGCAACTGAAATGTTTGTTAAACTTTATTTATAATTTTAAATAAGCATAGACTGAATCTGATTCATACGAACCATTCAAATAAATTCCACATCTGTTTGTTTACGTTTCTCTCTCTCCTTTTGGCCACATATGTGTCATTCACTCAAGCACCGTGTCCACATGCCCTCATTTCACTAGCAGATACATCTAAGTGTTGGTACCTTTCATTTATTTTTAGTTGATGGTTTCCCTGTGTTTTTTCACCTTTATCCTCAGGAGAAAATTGGGCAGATGGATTGTCTAAGTATTTATTAGCTTTGCTCCAGAATAAGTAAGAATAGACTGTGACGATTTGTTAAAAGATCATCTAATGAAAGATTCAAGAGAATCCAGAACAATGATCAAAAAGGAAAAGCTAGGTAAGCCTTATAAATAGCTCTGAGTTGATTAGCATTTTCTCTTCTATCCTCCAGGTAATATCTATGCTCGCCAGTTTAGGGAAATTATGTGGTGCTGGTGCAATTGGACTTTTGAAGATACTGCCTGAGATAATTCACCCAAATTTGGTAGAGCTGTGGAAAACACGCATACCTGAGCTCCTGCAGCCTCTGGAAGGTATAAGGGAGTGGGATCAGGCCTTTACCCAAGGTGGCAAGAACACAAAGAAGCACTTCAATGTCTTAAGCCACTGTTGTTCATTTTAGGCAGTAGAAACAATGAACTTGATATGCAAGCTAAACAGCTGCATTTTCTCCCGGACTCCTTATGTTCTATTTCTCTATGCGATACTTAACACTACAAGAGGACCTGGTGGGTTATATACTCAGCAGGAACTTTTACTTTTGCTCTGGTCTTTTTCTTATATGTAGAGAAGCTCTTTTTTGGTATTGTTCTAAAAACTTATTGTTCATTCATGCTAGAATATTGAAATATGGTCATCCAATAGTTAGTGTTGCAATTGGCAAAAAGCCCAGATTTTATCATGAATTTGAAGCGCCTGTGTCGAGCTAACTATCAATTTAAAATTGCCAGCATAGTAAATTTAATCTGAAATAACCATCCTGCATAGAAAGAAAGCTTGAAATGGAAACCTAGCATCCACTGGGGACCTGGCAAGGGGAAAATTGTCTTGATTTGTTTTTGCAGTTATTGCATCAATTTCTGTTTCTAGGAAAGAACACCAGTATTGTGCTATGGGAGACCATGCTGCTTCAGGTAAGAGTGGCTCCTAGACTAACTGCTGACAAAGGGTGATGAAACCACCGAAAGTTACCTGTCTTAACTAAAAGGAGTTAGACTCCCAAGGGCAGGAAACAGCATTTCCTTTTCTTGAGAAAAACACTAGACTGTTAGACATGATCACATTAGAATTATGCTCTTTGAATCACTGAAATTTGAGCAACAATCTTCAGTCTTCAATTTGATTCAGAGTTTCAGACAGCTTTGAGGATTTCACTTTATAGTATTTTTCTCCATGTCTGTCTTAAATCTTCTCTAATTTTTAGGGTTTTTTCCCCTCTCCTTGTAATTGCATTATTTTACCATTTATATAAAGAAACAGAGATTAACATCATTTCTGGTTCTTTGCTCCTAAATATAATTCCATTTCCTCCTCTTTCTGCATCTCGCCATCTATTTCCTGATATCTAAACACCAAAAGGCCACATTGTAACCCTTCTCCAGAAAAGTATTTTTCTCTCATTCATAGCTTTTTAGACCTTTACAACTAAACAGTGCCACAGACAATGCCAAATCCCCCAAATGGTAAACTGCACACAAGAGTTGGATGGACATTGGCTTTACTGAGAGAGTTTTGATTTCAAGGACTCACGGGAGCCCAGGAGCAGGGAGATTTTAATCCAGCAGAGTTTTGGTTCATAAGCTACCGATACAGGAATTAACTATGGCTTCTTAAAAGTGTCAGTTTTCAGTGACCTCTCCACAGCACCTCCATATCCCAACACCACCCCTTCCAAAAGCAGAATCTCAAAGAGGGGCACCTGAGAGCTCATGTGTCTTGACGACTCCCACAAGTGATTCTTACCCAAAATGAGATTTGAAAGCAACTGCTCTACATTTCCTGGTCCCTAATTCTAAGACTCACCTCTCCTCCTATATTCGTGCTTCTTTTATCTCACTTTCCTTCTCTCAAAATATCTACCTTATTTTCCCCTGCCACCCTTTTAAAATAACTGTTCTTACTAGGAAGGAAAGTTCTTTTTCTACAGGGAAATCTTAAGATCAATTCTTTTCCTTCTTCCAATCTTGAGTATACTTCGAGGCTTCTTTTTCTAAAACGGTCTGCATTTGTTTTCTTCCCTTAAACCGCCGAGGCTGCTTAATTCCTTCTCCTTAAAGAGTTCACTGAATGAGTTCCTATTAAGAAAATACATACAAATCTTTTCATTGGCTTTGACACTATGTCATTTTTACGCTTAGAAAAAACACAAGAGAAATCATAGACCTTAGAAATTGCAGTGGATTTTGTCCTCCAAAAAGACAAAAACAACTTTTTAGGTATTGTTCAATGAAGGACACAGGTGCAGACAAATGATTGTGGCCTTGGCTCAAAACAGTTGGTGAAATCAGGAATATTTTGTGACTCCTGAAGTTGACAACATGTGCTTGTACATATAATTGGATTTTCAAGGCATTTAATTCACTATGCCACAAATGTCCTTTTTCTTAACATGTAATAAAAATAAACTAACTTTGACAAATGGAGTTTTTTCCAAATTGACTTGAACCTTGAAAAACATTAACTTCAATTTAAGTTTCAGATTGGATTCATTCCTATTTGAAGTCTTTCAGCAATTTTTATTTAAGAGGAAAAAGTCAGGCACTTACACAAAGTTACTGCCACTTCTCATGTACCTTATTCTTAATAGGAATTTGGAACATAACAGAGTACAGCTTCTAAAATAAACTAAAAGGGAAAGTTCCAAAGTAATCAGTTTTTTATGGGAAAAGGAATAATCCCATTTAACGTTGACTTTGTACTTTTAGAAGATATTGTAATAAAAAAGTACCAGGAAAGCACATTAAGCAGTTACAGTCATATCTGACTTTCACTTCCTACAACAGTTGCTCAAAGAATCTTTATGGAAGATCAGTGACGTAGCCTGGACCATCCAACTGATTCGGGATTTCAAACAGCAAATGGACAGTTACAGCAACACCTCCGTTGAGAAGGTTGGTTTTTCAGCTCGGAGAACTTAGCTTCTACTTCTGAACTGAAATGGCTGTTCAAGTTCCAACTTGTCTGCACGGCAACCAAAAGGAGGGGAAAATGGTTGAGAAAATGCTACCATCTCTTCACCTTACGTATGACCAAAAGTTACAGGGCTGCACCTATTTGCAAGGAAAACTGCGTAGTGCCTTCAAAACAAATATGTGCCTGACTCAAATTTGAGGGTTCTGTTATAGAGAAGGAAGAAAACATTGGATACTGGACAGCAAGTAGCACCCCCTTACCGTAGCACTGGTTTAATGCCAGCTTATGTCTTAGTTTCCACTGGGTCACTCTTGTGAAGCTGGCTATGAGAAATAATACTACAATTCTTTTTTTAGTTCAAGTATAGTTGATTTACAACCTCTTAGTTTCATGCAAAGTGATTCAGTTATACATCTATATTCTTTTACAGATTCTTTTTTGTTATAGGTTATTATAAGATATTGAATATAGTTCCCTGTGCTACACAGTAGACTTGTTGTTTGTCTATTTTAGATACAGTAGTATGTGCATGTTAATCCCAAACGTCTATTATATCCCTCCCTATTCCCTTTCCCCTTTGGTAACTGTAGTTTGTTTTCTATGTCTGTGAGTCTACTTCTAGTTTGTAAATAAGTTCACTTGTGTTATCATTATTTTTTTAGATTCCACATGTAAGTGATATCATATGATATTTGTCTTTCTCTGTCTGA